CTGGCAGAACTGAGGAGAAAAACACCTGTCACCCATCCCACTGACCTTCACCCTCAGAGTTATGTAGTCACATTTGACCTTTTCCAAGCTGACCCAGCAATATCTTTGGTGTCCCATGGAAGAGTAGTGGTGGGTAAGTGTGAGAGCCAAACCAACCTTCTTGCTCTCTCCACCACATGYCAAATCAACCCCATCAAGCAGCATACCTCTCCAGATGATGTTAGCTCCAAAGATATGTGCCTCCATTCCCTGCAGCAGGGAATCACCCATCTTTTTTTTGACTGGAGTGRTCTTCTTAGGCTGATTTTAAATTACTTGTTTTACAAGATGTGCATGTAGAACCTCTCTCAATTCTCCTTTTGTCAAATCAAGTTTTATTAGCAGCATTTCTTTTCCAGTTCAGATTATATGAAGACTACATGGTTGTGTAGATGGGAAGTTTTCATAAAGGTAAATACATGTTATGTTACTGGTTACCCATGAAACTGATTTAATTAGATGAGAAATAAAAGATGACTAGTTTTTAAAACAGAAAACAGGTCTATGTWCTTTGTGTGCATGTATGACTCTATATGTGTGTGCTTAAATTATATACATATTGCATTAATATTGAGGAATTTTATAGTAAGACTTTTTATAATTATCTAATATGAAAAAGATACATTTAGTAAAAGTATAATAAAAATCTGCCGACTTTTCCTTGTTAAATAAAGTCATGAGAGAAAAAGCTTTAATTCTTTTTTTTCCTCTTTGAGAAGGAAATGTATTTTAGATGATTCTTCACTTTATTTCATGGAGTCAAACTCTGCAGAAATTTGCACTGCAGTRGAAAAGAGGAAGAGACATAGAAAAGGGTAAAGTAGGATGGAATATGTTAACCGAATTCAATGTCATGTAAAAACTCCTACAGCAACTCCATTTGCTTATATTATCATCGATGCTGTACTTGTGGAATACAGAATTAACCTGGTCTATGATTGCAGCCAAGCAGACCCTGCTTTCCTGTGAATAGTAGAAGCTGAAAGGTTATGCCATGTGTTGTCTTACCATAGATTTTACTCATTAGTTCCAGATATCATGTAGAACTCTGCTCTGACGTTAACACCCTTCTGAAGATTGCAGTTTCCTTGAGTATAAAAAAATACTATTAAAAAGATACAAAAGCAGCATCCAGTTACAAAAAGTCCTCTTTCAAGAGGACTCTGTCTCTTATCTCTGCCAAATTTTAAGGTTTTGCTCAAAAAAGGCGAAACAGAGATTACGAGCAGCAGGGCAGGGGAAAATGTTTCTGTAAAAGAATAATGCTGAACTGCAGGAATTTAAATAGATTGTGGAAAATCACAAGGTGGTATTGGCCTAAAGGAGGTTGTAACTGGATGTTTCATATTTAAAATAGAGATTTAGTTCTTAATACTTATGCACATGCACTATATATTTATATTTTTTTAATTCATTTCTCATGTTTGAGCACTTATGTGAAAAGCATACTGTGCTTTTAAATAAAATACCTACCTGAARTAAATTGCAGCTTTATTTTTTGCATACCGGCTAGTTTAAACATTTTAGTATGGTATAGAAATCAATCTGTCAAGTGACATAAACAATGGCATGCAGGTTATATATAACAGGGAACAAAGAGTGAAGGGGAAAGTAAAGACACTGAGGTTTTTCCTACCAATTAATATTTAATAAGCTTCCTATATTGAATATGGATGAGTTGCAAAGTTTGCAATTTGCAAACTAACTTTTATTTTCCAGATGAAGAAATAAAAATTTCTTCATTGCTCATTGCTCATTGCATGGAGACACAGTGTCACGTAAGAAAAAGAACAAGTTTAATAAGTGTAAAAATTATGTATATATCTTCAGCACACTATTTTTTTTTCCAAAATACTCATATTCCTGTATTTTCTCTGTTATAGATTATGTGCTAGTCTTAAGGAAATTCTTGCTGAAAGAGAAGTATGATTGTAATTGCTGTATTTGGGCCTATTATGCTTGTTATAAGAGCTTTGAAGGATTCACATAATTAGTGTTTGTAAATCATATTGGTATAATCAGAGAGCAGCTACAATGTATTATTAGTTTTTGTATTATTATTATTATCATATCTACATTAAAGGCATATGAATTCAATTGCAATTTGATATTAAAGTTCCTGACACATGGGCAAATCAATTCAACTCTTGCTCTTGCAATATATGATGAGAGCAAAAATGGGCAATTAGATGCTTTGAAACATTATGTTGTATATTCAGTTATGTAACCCTATTTCAGATGGTGTAGAATAGGATTTACAATTCATTCATCTGCTCTGTTGTCTGAAAAAATGGGCTTGACATCCCAATTTATGAACAAAAGTTCTAATTTAGACTTGTTTCAAGTAAACAACACAACTATTACCATCTTAGCAGCCTCATACTAACATGACCAGTTGTGGAAAAGTCTAATATGTTATTTAATTGTAGCTAGTTATAAATCATTTTTAAAAGAATGATATACGTTGAGTTCTCATATGATGAGATGAGAAAAAAAATAAGTGYTCTCAACCTGGCTGTAATTTCCTGAAATTTTCTGTGCTTAATCTTGGAAAAAAAAAAGAATATTTGGACTGTAGACTATCTGCAACAGCAATATTTCAGCACATCTGTGTTAGTGTCCATCAGGAGTTAAAGTCAATACAGTTAGATACACCTGTGAGTATCAGTGCTTGAAGCACCRAATTGATTGGTATCACAGGTCTCTCCAATGTCTTCCCCTTCCCTAAGGCAATATCAGCTCTTTCTGTGTCATTTCTGAGGGTGGTTTGTCTAATTTGTTCTTGAAGAACTCTGATGCTGGAGGCACCATAACCCTCTTGTGCAATCTATTTCAATACTTCATGATCTTTCTGATTAAAAAAGCTGTACTTATCTAACTAGAGTCATCCTTGCTGTAATTTAAACCTGCTTCTACTTCTCTCCACTAAGGATACTCTAAAACTCTAGAGCTTTTTCTGATGAACTGCTGTTAGTCCTGAGTTCTCTCCCTAGTGCATGCAGAGATGTTTCCCACATTATTGACAGTTCTCTGCACTACTCTTTATTGAACAATTTGCTGTTTTTTGACTCAGTTTCCTAGATGAATCCTCATATTGTCTTCCAACATAKGAACTTTTTAGCTCAGTGTGGTCTTTACTTTTAACATGCAAACTATTAGATCCTTMAAGGATTTAGTTATTCTGGACCAAGAAGGAGATTGCAGAGATCCTCTGAAGTCATAGATGCTGTTTTGACTTGCTTGTTTTTGAAAAATTCATGTATGCTGATCTCCATATTCCTTTAGGTACTTATATATCGTTGGTTATGTATGACTCCATATTTTTCTTAGAATTAAAATTAGGGTGACTGACCCCATATGCCCCAGCTCACTCTCTTCTTCTTAGCAATATACTTATGAAAATATGTATTTATGTCCTCACACATTATCAAACCTAATGAGCAACAGATTCCTTAGATATTGGCTGACCTGAATGCATTTAAGCAAACTGAGTGCTCTTTCAGTCTTTGCAACTCTTTCCATCCCTGTGATATCACTCCATTAATACTCTTATAAACTAATAGCTTCCTATCATTTAATCAAATGATTGAGAGCTTTTTTTGGTCACTGAAGCTTTACTCAAAATATCATTATGCATTCTGGTTGTCAGTATTTGTAAATATCCTTTTCCTCTCTCTGACAGAACAGTTCTCCTTAGTTCACTCTTCTTAGTTCACTAATAATAAAAAGAATTTCTTATTGCTTCTGTGGTCTTTGTATGTTGTGCTTTGTTTGAGTTTATCTCCATATACTAACAAAATAATTTGTATTTATCTTCAACTAATTTCTATTTCTTACATATTTTGTTTACTCTTATTTTCAGGATCACAGATGAAAGGAACCTAGCTTCATTTTTCCAAATTAGTTCTCAGTTCCACAATAATTTCCATGTAAGTTCTTATTATTGCTTCTTTGCAGAATTGGCGCCTTGCTTTAATGCCTTCCCCCACTTCTCTCAGCTTCTCTGTATAGCCTATCTACAAAGTTTATTAAAATCTGTTTTAGGGTTTCTTTCTTTTTTTTTTTTTTTTTTTAATAATCCACTTATTTGTCCTTCTCATCCTACCTCATGTCCTGCTGATGTCTTTGCCAGCATGTCTGAAGAATTTAAATCTCTTGTTACCATTAACTTTTTGGATGTAGGTAGCACCTGCCTGCCAAAAAAATCTGGATTGTCCTCATTTACTTATGAAATGATGCTCAGCGTGAGAACATCTGTGTACTCGCTTCCTTTCARCCATTAGCAATAAACATTCACCACGTCTGTCTCTAACTATAGGATGAAATCTGGGAGAAAGACATCTGTTACTGTTATATAAAGCAATACTTTTAAYAACAGGACCCAAGTCAGTGAGCCTGCTCCCTTGAGATGAGCATGCCAAAAATGCCTCTGAATATCTAAATCTAAGTTTTAGTGTGATGGATAAGAATGACAGACTTGAAGTATGGAAACTCAGATACGTTGTGTAACACAAAATACACACAAAGTCACCAAGCTCGCCATCATGTTGCTGAGTCATTGCTGGGCAGAACTCTTCCTGTTACCTTGCCCTCAGTTCACCACCTAGCAATGACCTTCAAAATTACACCTAACTACAGATTTTCTTTATATAACATGTTCTTTCTGCAGGTGCTGTGCTGATGGTTGGATGTACATCTCTCACACTGGATCTTCTTCAGCCCACATGTTCTATCCCCAGTGCTAAATAAGAGGGCATAATAATGTCTCTTGTCCCACTGGTTACACTTCTAATGCAGTTTGCCTTATTCACAATGAGAACGTACTCCGGGTCCACATATAATTCAGCAGAGCTTTTTAGCAGACCTGCCAGTCAGTTCTCTGCTGAGGACACTTTTGTGCTCATCCTCCAGGTTGCTAATGAAAATATTGGATGATATTGATCTCAGCCTCTATCCCTAGTATGATCATTTGTAACCAGCTGCTTGAGATCTTCCTTGGCCCAGGAAAGCAGTTGGACTATAACAGCTCTTGGCTGGAAGAATGGATGAGCTTGGACAATCTTCCTGCAGAAATCATCCTGGGTAAGCAGCATGATTTATGGTCCTTCTGCGAGCAGCATCTCCGGGTTCCTTTTGTGGCCCCTACTCTCCAGTTATCACATTCCCTGCCTGCCATCCTATCTTCAGTTGTCCTGTTGATAACAGTCTGAGAACAGYTGGTTATTTTAGCCTGCTTTTAGTAGCTTTCTAGACTTGAACTCCTTGAATTTCTCATAACAAGTCAGGCCCAACCACACTAATTCTACATGTACATCATATTTATCCAATCATTATTCTTAATACAGATACCAGCTTTCAACAGTTTTGATGTCTTTATCTGTTTGTTTTGTTTTGGAAATATTTAACTATTTGCTCTCTCCCTGGGACTTGATCATCAGGTATGCCAGTTTTGATCTCAAATCTTATCTGCTTGAGGGTGGAACATTATCATCATAACACACTTGGTGCAATTTCCTCCCTGCAGAATAACTATCTCTTTCTTTATTACTGGAGATACAGTCACTCAAGTCAGTATGAACCCAGCCACTCTGTGCTCCTGGAAGCAAGAAAGAGCTTAGATACATGGACAGAAGCCAGACTTTCAACTTGGTTTCAAGCCAGAGAAAAGGTCTCGGTTCATTTTTATTTACTAGTATAGATATAGCCAAAGATGGTTGCTGAAATATTGCTGTTGAATATGCAGGCAATCGGGGATTAGCATACATTAAATCACTCTGAATGGAAAGAGATGTTTCCAGGCCAAATTCTCACAATCCAAATGTACTTTCTATGAGGTACTTCTGTCAATTAACTGATTTTTAAAGCATGTCAGGAATTAAAATTACTTCAATATTATCAGCAAAAGTCTGGATTCATTTAAACTTACCCCTTTTTGGATGTATGCAAAGAAAGTAAGACATTTCTCACATTTGCTTGGACAGACACATCAAGAACAACAGGCATGACCCAATGAAATATAAAGTGATAAAAATGATAACTGAGTAATATGAATGGTGATTTATGACCATACTTCCTGGCTATGATGCAGACTATCCAAAGTTAGAATTTAATGCCAGTAATTACCAAGCCACAATGTACCCAGAACTCTTAGGCTGTTGTAATCAAAAGGCAAATATTAAGAAAATCAGACATCCCTTTCTGATAATATCTTTGAAAGAAATTCCCTTTATGGCCARACTAATACTCCTTGCTGCTGGTTAAATCACTGAAATACATTAATGAACACATATATATGGGAAAGGGAGTGTTATTTTTCTTCACTACAAAATCATGTTCCTGTAAAGTTAATAAGGACAAAAATCAAAGGCAATCATAATATTGCTAGTACAGACACTGAYGCAGACACATACAATTGGACAAGATAATGTGCAAGAATAATTTCTTTGCTGGGTTCCATATGGTTAATTGTAACCACTGAGGAATAAAAAAAAAAAAATATATCAACCACAAGAAGTCTGGACATCACAGTATAGATGTCAGTTAACATGTTTTTTTGAAACTCAATTTATTTTTCTTATTTTTAAAGAAAAAAGAGTACGTAGATGTTAGGCTACGTAAGCAATGAGGTTTAAAAAAATTGCCAGCTGCTAGAGGGCAAAACAGACACAGAAGATGAATAGCTGCAAGGTCTGCTCCTACCAATAGGACTCCTTATCTGAGAAAGGGATCATGATATAATTTATGATAAAGTATGGTAATACCTGCTGGATGTGTTTAATCCATTTTATCATTCAAAAAAAAAGAGTTTTGCAAAGAAGCAACTTCTAATTTAGTTCACAACTAAAGAAWGCCTTAAAGTAATATTGCATTTAATCTTGTGTTCTTACAAATCTTCTTGTACTCTTTACCAGTGTTGTACTTGAAATAATACACATTACATTAGACTTATCAATGACGTTCCTTTTACAGAATCACAGAATCTCAGAATGGTTGAGGTTGGAAGGGACCTCTGAAGATCATCTAGTCCAATCTCCCTGCTCCAGMAGCGGCACCCAGACCATGGAGCACAGTGTGGCATCCAAGCGTGTTTGGAAGGCTTTCAGAGMAGGAGACTCCACAACCTCCCCAGGCAGCCTGTACCAGGGCTTGGTCGCCTGCACAGGAAAGAAGTTCCTCCTCATATGGAGATGGAACTTCCTGTGTTTCAACTTGTACCCATTACCCCTTGTCCTGTCACTGACCATGACTGAGAAAGAGTTTGGCCACTTACACCCTACATTGTCCCTCCATATTGATCAGATCCCCTCTCAGCCTTCTCTTCTCCAAGCTAAACAGACCCAACTCACTTTCTTTCCTCATAAGACAGGTGCTCCAGTCCCTTAATCATCTTTGTTGCTCTCCACTGGACCCTCTCTAGAAGCTCCAATTGGGGAAGCTCCTGTTGGGGGTGCCCAGAACTGAACACAGTACTCCAGGTGAGGCCTCACCAGAGCTGAGGAGAGGGGCAGAATCACCTCCCTTGACCTGCTGGCAACACTCCTCCTGATGCAGGCCAGGATCCCATTGGCCTTCTTGGCCACGAGGGCACACTGCTCACTCATGGTTAACCTGGTGTCAACCAGGACTCACAGGTCCCTCTCCGTGGAGCTGCTCTCCAGCAGGTCAGCCCCTAATCTGTGCTGGTGCCTGGAGTTACTCCTCCCCACATACAAGGTCCTGCACTTGTCCTTGTTGAACCTCATGAGGTTCCTCTCTGYCCAACTCTCCAGCCTSTCCAGGTCCCTCTGAATGGCAGCACAGCCCTCCGGGGCATCAGCCACTCCACTCAGCTTGGGATCATCTGCAAACTTGCTCAGAGTGCACTCAGTGCCCTCATCCAAGTCATTGATGAAGGGGTTGAACAGCACTGGGCCCAGTACTGACCCCTGGGGACACCACTGGCCACAGGCCTCCAACTGGGCTCAGCCCCATTTAATAAGTAAAGGAGGAGAAGAAGATGATATAACATTGGTAGAGCTGGGGGATATGAAGATATGTGAAGAAAAATCACTTTGCTTAAGTTAATTTTTATATTAAWATTGTTAAATTGGCATCAACCTATGCTCAGTCCTGTTGTTTGATTTAAAAGTGATTTATTTGTTAATCTGTTTCTAATTGGAGCAAGATAAACAAATAAAAATCTGATTGTGCCAAAATGAATAAAAGGGTTTGAATTAATACAGCTATATTGGTTTATAATCGGAGCCTAGATTATACTGGAGCAAATTTCCTGTGTAAAGAAGCTCTGTTTATGGATTTGTGGGAAGTATGATGTACAGGCTGCAATATTTTTGCTGTAGTTATATGAGGTCTTTTAACAACCTGATTTATGTCTGTCTCATAAGATTTGTGCTCTGCTAAACTCATCGGAGGAAAGCACCCAGGGCTTTTCACAGGATCAGGAATATTAATAACCCCTAAACCCCCTGACATGTATTGCAGCAGAATACAAAGAAACTCCTGTTCACAGAAGGCCACCAAATTTGGAAGAAGGCAAATGACCTCCAAAAAAATGACCCCGTTCAGTAAAAAATCATATCATAAAGTGACCAAGTTTATTAGGCAACCAATAAACATGGTCTGTACTATAGAAATAGAGTGCTTGAAGCCCTCCAGCTGAGTTTAAAGTACAGCACAACTTCAGAAAACCCTTCTATTTTATTATGTTTTGTAAGTACTATGATATTTTTATTACAGAGAAGTGAACTTAACACTCATGAGAGGTGTCAGATTGACAGTACTGGAAATGAGAAACCTTCAGATTAATCCAGAGAGGGCTAGAGTGAAGCCAGGGGCGAAAGCAATACTTTCTTCCCAGAAGGATCTGTCACTGCTTCTTTCTCCTCTAGAGGAACCACTTCTGCCCTGGGAGCATCTCCCCACCTTTGCTTGAGTGACTCCCTCTATGTCTTGAATTTCTTTGGATTTAGCAGTTGTGAGAAGAATTATTATGTATGACCAAAAGTAGATTAAAAAATCTAAAATAAGAGACATGCATGACATTATCAGAAATCTCATAACTTTCTACTTGCAATTAATCCCTCAATCATCAGCTTAAGTTAGTAGTTTTGTCTAAGAATACAGATAACCTACTAGACTAACCTCAGAAGTSGTATTTATGGAGTTGAAGTGATAGAATCACAGAATTACAGAATGGTAAAGGTAGGAAGAGTCCTCTAGAGATCATCTAGTCCAATTCCCCTGCTCCATCAGGGACACCCAGAACACGGGGCACCTGGTCACATCCAGGTGTCTTTGGGAGACCTCCAGAGAAAGGGACTCCACAGCCTCCCTGGGCAGCCTGTGCCAGGGCTCTGGTGCCCTCACAGGAAAGAAATTCTTCCTCATGTGCAGATGGAACTGCCTGGGTTTCAACTTGTCCTGTCCCCTTACCCCTTGTCCTCTCACTGGCTACCACCAAGAAGGGTTTGGCCCCTTCCTCCCTAAATTCTCCTCTCAGATACTTATACAATATGTTAGAAGTTTTATCATCTTTTCCATTTGGGTTGCTGTTTGCTTTTGTCTCAGAGAGATTTTTCATGTAAGGATGAATTTTATCCTTATGAGAATCAAAACTGTGTCCACAAATTACCATAGATGTCAAGGATTGGAAAGYGGTCTCTTGGGTATGCCTTGGTCAGAAGAGGCTTCCCATGATGTCACATGGACTGCAGCGCAAGCAGCTCAGAATATCAGTTATGAGAGGCTACAAATCACCTACATTGCTTGGCATATATACAAAGTTTATCTCCAGGAGGTATTATCTTATCTCCCTGATTAGGTGTTTACACCAGTACATATGACACCAATGAAAACTTCTTTATGAAGCCCTTTAAATAGATACCATGACAGGCAATATTGCTGGAGTGAGAAATCCCAGTGGCTTTTTTTTTTTTTTTTTAAAAGGCATATTCAGTAACTGAATTTTAATAAACAAAGCAATATATAAATATTGTGTTTAGATGACATATGGGTCTGTGCTTTAATCTGTGTACTGTAGTATTCCTTTTGTATCTTTGTTTTTTTTTTTCTTCCCCACAGCT